CATTCAATTAGCGTATCCAATGCCATTAAACTAGATTATGCAAGACTGTTGCACTTTAGGAGCACTTCTTTTGTTTAGTCCAAAAAACCTTTGATAAGTTCAGAACCTGACAGCAGTCTGTTGAAATCAAAATTTGATTGGCATATTCAAAATGATTGAATTCGGAAGATCGTGTTCTATTCTGTTTTGTTCAAATTTTAAGATCAAGGATATCAATCTTATAGTAAGGACAAAACTTACTCTATCAAGCCAGCAAGTTGGTTATCCGGTGAGTCCGGCGAGATTTGCATCGTATTGATGAGGTCCTTGCGTTTGTTGTGAGATGCGAACAGGAACAGGTAGAATACACTGGGCAGCAGCATTGTCATCAAGGTTGATGGTTGAGCCACCAACCTGTAATGATTCCTTCAGGTGAGATTTCTCATTTGAAAGGGTTGCCAGATGATTTTTGAAAATCATTCTTGAAGAAAGAAATCCATTGAAGGATATGAGGCTCGGAATCGATTCACTTTTGAGAAATCGTCGAATTCCACTCCCATTCGGAACCACAGCTACATTTGAATTCTTACCTGGCCTGTATGAGGCTCATGGATAGGGTCAACCGTCCATTGTGCTAAGTTCAGCGAGGAGAGTCGAATTTGTGGTTTTTGGATGGGAGAAGCCGGTCGTGTAAAGATTCGGCGACATCAGTAGTCATAGTGAGCCCCCCTTCCCCGTAACGCCTTCCCCCGTCACTCGCGTTTCATAAGAATTTTGAAGCCGGAACTGGAGTATGTCAAATGGTCGCAGATCAACAACACCATCATGCGTTAGGGGGGGGGTCGTGTGGAGCGGCTCATTCCAGGGTAAGGTCGTGAAAGTTTGAAATTGACGGAGCGGGCTCGCCCTGCCCGCGGGGATAGCCTATAAAATAATCGGTCTTTCCACACTCCACATGAGTATTCACTTAGCTGACTAAGATGGTCTCCCATAAAGGCAAGCCAATTCACGAATTCACGATTTTTGTAGAAATTCGGAAGATGGGGTTAGCTTTGGCAGAAATTCGGGATTCGATCCGAGTACCATAGGGTCAAAAAAGGGGTTGCGATGGAGCTTGCGGGCCCCGGGAAAGGATTTGCGGCACTCGAAGCAGTCGCTTGGCTGCCAGGGAAGCGAGCTGTAGCGATTTCACGACGGAAAGTGCGTACCATTTTGCGTATTCGTGACGGATTCTCTTTTTTGCATTGGTGTATCATTGAGCACCCCACGGCCCCTCTGAAGATCTCCAGAACTTATCGCAATCGCTGCCTCTAACGAGAAAACCTTTCACCATTTCACTTTATCTAGGAAAACCATAAAATAGACAAGGAAACATAAAATAAATCATAATATAGTATAGAACTCGCCAAATCCAAGAACACTCCAAAGTGAGGTATCGATTCGGCGGTGAAAACAATTCCGAAGAGCATCACAGATCGAATGGCGAACCGTCGCATACTGAAGTCTGCAATCGAAACTACTCAGTTTCCGAGAAGCTTTCAGCTTCTGCAGACCGCTGCACGTCCTTTCGCATCTCCTAGTCTATTTATCTCTTTTCTATCAATATTTGGGCGGAAGTGGTGTAGTGGCAAGTGGCACGCTTACCACGCGAGCGGTCCTGGGTCGTGAGTCGCCCGGGCCAACCAAGCCTTCCATCCCTCCGGGGTCGGTTAATTGGTACCAGACTTGTCTGGGAGGATAAAAACACTGACTTGTACATCGGCTGGCCCCGCAAGTCATTGTATAGGCCACATCGCATTCAAACGCCACTACGAATGTACAAATGGAAGTAGAATGCGTGCCGCATCCCAAAAAGGGATTGATCAACGGCAAATGCTTTTCCTTTATCCTATAATATCATGAATGACCCAAAAGTAATTTGTTGAATAATGAAATATGAACAGTTTTGAGTACGGTATATGTTTAGATGCACCCTGAAATCGTGAAGGATAAAAATTGAAGGAACTGATCATGGAAACTAGATTTCTTTCTTTCCCATATGAAGGCGTTTTTCGCGATTACTACAGTCATCGTACATACAGAGTTTCATAGTTTAAAGTTTTCGGAAATAACACACTCTTGAAAAACCAATTTGTGACCCACATAGACCCACGGTGGAGCAATGGGCGCTATTGTTAGAACGATGGTCTAATGTGAGGAGTGGGGAGCACGTATTAGGTATCAGGTGTCACTGACACTGGGCATTTCAATCTGGTAAGTCCGGGCAAAACTGACAGCCATAAGAGAGGGAAATGGTATTGCATCAGGTGAGATAGCTAAAAAGCTCCACTAGTGAGTGCATTCCAAGAAGCAAGTGGAATTTTCTCGCCAGCAGCATTGTGTGACTGTACGAACGGGAAATTCGGCCCATTAGCTATTTCGCATTCATTTCGTCCTGCCGAGAGAGTGCCCTGCAATCTGCTGACTGATGGGGAGATACGAACCATGTGAATAGCCTGGGCTACTCTTCGAAGGCCAAAACGATCGACACCCAGCACGCCCGCGCTGGCGCTCCATTTAGCATATTGCTCACAAACCGTTATGATCGAAGTCAAGAATTCAATAGGGATAGCCCAGTTTAAATGTAACTATATTGCGACATATGCGAAACATGAAGCGTTTACTTGGCTGCTAAGAAAGCAGTTGTGGCGCTGGTGCGCTGGTTGCTGAGCAGGACTTCGAAAGCACTCCGTCCCAAAGCGATCCGCCCTATTAGTTGGTGATTTGGACGAGCTGTGTTGCCAGCAGCGGCACAACTGGAGCAACTCGACTGGAGCTTGGATTGGCATGGTATCACCAAACGCATTGTGGTAAAACGTCCGCCGTTTTAGCCGGTGTCCACTCCTCAGTGGAGATCAACTGCCAAACAAGAGGTCCCCTTTCGCACTTTCTTGATGGATTTCTGTCTTTTATTTCGTCAATGGCGCACCAATGAGCTTACTCACGTCTCTGTAACCCCCTCCCCCTCTCCCAGAACCTATCGTAATCGCTGCCCTTAATGTCGTGACTACTTACGTGTGGTATATACAGTAGCGGTCAAAAGTGTTCGCCGAAACGGTTTTTCGTGCTTCTCTTTTTTTTGCCAGAAAAAATCAATGGTGGCCTCGAAAATTTTTTCTTTTGAATATCCTGATTCTTCAAGACTTGAGGATATAAAAACACTAGAAACATAGTATATCAATCTTTGGAGGGCGTTGCTCAAGCGAAAAAATAATGCACTGAAAATCGTTTCGGCGAACACTTTTGACCGCTACTGTATTTGAAAAAAACTCACGTCGTTGCGGTACATTGGTCCATTCTTCAACTTGTTGTGCTAATGGAGAAAAGACGATCACCACCGTCGGCAGAACGTGCACCGTGATCATCACATTGACCAGTTGTGAGAGCCATCCGATCTAAAATGTCCCAATAGACCTGTATGTATAAAACCAACAATTTTCAAATCAAAATTTTGAAATGAAGCCAATTTTTCTGTTGGAGACATATTTTTTTTTAGCTTTCAAACTATTTTTCCATAACAGTTTGTGGGCTTTTAATGAACGTGCGTAATTAGGGGGAGCAATGGGGTATTATAGTGCCTCTGCAAAAAAGTAATGGAAAATGAAAAATGACAGTTGACTGACTGGAAGGCAAGCACTCTCCAAAGCCAGTAGATTGCAACCTGGGGCCGTAAGGTATGCTTCCCCGAAGGGTTAGGGGACGAAAGTTCCTTTAAATTTTCTCTGTAGTCCCAACTGGGATTGTCCTGATAAAGGGCCTACATCTAATATATGTGTGTAGCTTAAACCCATTCGTGACAATGTCAGCCACCGGTGGCTGACAAAGCTCTCACTGCGGGACAATGGTATTACTATGGGCCTGAGGAGGGCGGAAGTGGTGCAGTGACAAGTGGCGCGCTCACCACGCGAGCGGTCCGGGATCAAATCCTGGGTCGTGAGTCGCCCGGGCCAACCAAGCCTTCCATCCCTCCGGGGTCGGTTAATTGGTACCAGACTTGTCTGGGAGGATAAAAAACACTGACTTGAACATCGGCTGGCCCCCGCAAGTCATTGTATAGGCCACATCGCATTCAAATGCCACTGCGAATGTACAAATGGAAGTAGAATGCGTGCCGCATCCCAAAAGGGATTGATCAACGGCAAATGCTTTATTCCTTATCCTTTATCCTTTTTATGGGCTGCAGGGCTTTGAAATGGAATTTGGAAAGTTTTCTTCCATGGAAAGAATCTTCATACCCTCGCTCATCTACGCCAGCCCTGGGCAGAGGAAATCCCTTCACTCGGATTTTATTGAAGAAAAATCTCCTGACGCTGCTGCTATTGCGCAATCCTGCGCGGTCGCGAATGGGTTAAAGTAAGCATGCATTGAAAATAAAGAAACAGTTATTCGTTCAAAACAAAAAATTTAAAGGGACTTTCGTCCCCGCAACCATTCGGGGAAGCATACCTTACGCTGGGGGTGCTGAAGTCGGTCGCGTAATAACTTTCCCTCTATGAGTGTGTTGTGTGGTGACAGCATCGCGTTCAAGCAGCCACTACGACTCCGAATGGAGATAGAATGCGTGGTGCATTCCAGAAACAGGATTGGTTAATGCTAGGTGATCTGTACTTTTATAGATCTCACCTTTCAATTTAATTTTTATCCTGCATCAAACAAAAGATGGGTGACCAAGCTTTGAAGGCAAACCCCGGGATTAGCCCGACTTGTAGGAAGGATACCGCGAGGGAAATTGTAAGGTCCCTACCTACCTAGATCACTCCAGCTTCGCCGCAAAAGTTGCGCGGTTAGGGCGCTAATCCTTACGGGCCTGCGACCAACGCTTCCCACCCACCTCGATATCGGCGTGCTCTCTCGAACGGCGTGATCTCTCGCGTGTCCACTTTCAGACCGTCCAACAGCTCAGTCATCATTACGAAGGGCTCTTATCACCGGTTTTATCCGGGGATCTGTCTTTAAAAGGTCTGGATGTTCTGTCTCACCTGAAGCGACGGAATAACAGTATTCCTCATGCTGTCCCCATACACGGAGTAGCCAGTAGATGACACGATGATGTACACAATCAAGATGACTGAAATATTTTCACGTATGATGTTAAGGCAGCGTAGAGCCTGAGGAATCCTAAGGTCTCATCGAGTTCTTCGAAAGATGGGTACTGTCCTTTTCTTGAAAGAATCGTATAGCCATAGGTTCCACTTACTGTGCTGAAGCTTGTTTCGAATCTTAAGCTCGGAGAGCCCAATTCATTGACTACCATTTACCAACTGTCAGCTATCACTATGAATCACTAGTTACCAGATTTACTTGGAGGCCGTCGTCACTTGTGGTGTGTGGTCTGCATTCGACGCGCATCTGGTTCTCGGAAACAGAGGGTATCCTATTTTGAAGGGCCACTGCGACCTACTATCCTTCCCTTGCGAGCTGTTTTTTGTTCCAAAGACCATTTCTGACCTTTCTTCGATTCCCCTGTCCTTCCTGCCCTAACCTACGCCTCAGAGACTTGGACTCTACGCATTTCTGAGTTATTTCTTGGAAAAACTTTATTTACTGGGGAAGGAGAAGCTTTTTTCATGCCGACAAAAAAGTGTAGTTCTCTGCACATACGTCAATAATGAAAAAAATCAAAATGAGCTGTCCTTGACTTGCTTTGGTTAACTGCTGTATTTGACCGTGGTTCGTCATACGAAAGAAATCACAGGAGTGCTGGTTTATGTGCGAAATTTCTCGCCCTTGGGTTTTTGTCCACCAGCCATCTTTGCGATAATCAGAAAATCAGGAAAAGGCCGTCAGCAAATTAGAAGAACTGAAATTTCATCGAAAATCTTACAAATGTAGCTCGCCCAGACGGCTCGATTGAAGCGGAATGGCTTTGTCATGTCATGTTGAATCGTTGGAAAGGCGCCATGCCCACCTGAACAATAACTTTGTGGCCATCGAAACTTGGGAACTGCTATGAACAAAAGGCTACCGTAGGCAAAGGCTATTGTGCCATAAGCGAGGAAGAGATTAGTGAACGAGAACTCGGGATGAGAGACAGCCTAAAATATCAACAGCTCGCCTTAGACCGCAATAATAAGCCCTAGCTGGAACCCTCACCGGTCGACAAACGGGCGCATCGTGGATTGCTCCGGCTACGATAAGCATTGCCGCCACGGTACTGGACACAGCAGCGCCAACAGCAGCTTGCCTAAATAGGTATGGCATGGGATTAAAAGAACAAAAGATTTGGGTTCCAGTAAGGGGGGGGCATCATGATGCAGTTTCTCGGCGAACTAGTGTGAACTCGAACATTCCAGCTTTTCACGCATGTCAAGTGACTGCCCTCACCCCCCACCCCCTAGACTGGCTACACTCCCCCTGGCTCGGAGTTACCCTAGCTTTCTGGAAAAACTGCATCATGATGCCCCCTAACTGGAATAGACCCAAAGATTTTTGACGCTCACCAGAAGTCCATTGGGCTTTTCAGCATCACGAATGGCCACAGGACAGCTGATATCAGAAGAATCACGTAGCAGAAGTTGATCGGAAATCCAACGGCTGCCAGCAGATTCGAGAGATTGTTTGCGGCGAGAAGTGTGAGCACGGTGGCGATGCCGAATTGCGTCAGACACAGACAGAACGCCACTAACCGCCTTCAACGGTAACCTTTTAGGACGATGTGCTGTGCTACTAGATATTTTAACATGATGAAGTCAAAAGGATTCAGAGCAAGGCAGGAAGCTTCGACAGGCTAGATATGTAATTACGGCTTTCCTCTACAGTAGGAAGTATCAGGCCGATGTCAGACTTTGCGAATCGCGCGATTCGCTAGCGTCTGCGGTCGCGTCGCGGCCAGTGAATCACTCAATTGGCTGGTACCGCAACGCGACCGCGGACGCTAGCGAATCGCGAATCGCTCGATTCGCAAAGTCTGACATCGGCCTAATGGATCCTAGATCCCACGAAGACTTGCATTTGGTCCAAAGGTGAAATTTCGCTCACTTTGCTTTTGTGCCCATGGCTCTGTATGCCATTTCCGGATACGGTCGCCTACAGTGACTTTTGTACTCCGGCCATCGCTTCTGTAAATTGACGAAATTTTGTGGCTTCACAAATCGTTTTGATATCACCAAAGGGTTCCAAACCTGCATGAGTGTCCAGTTGTCTCCCAGCTGCACCCCAGTGTATCCGGTAAAGATGGCTGCGAGAACGATAATTGTGATACCGGGGATTAATCCTGAAAGTCTCAAGCTTTTCGCTTCCAATGAGAAGATTTGAATCCGGATTTTATTTTTTTTTTCATTTCTCAGCTCTCCAATACATGCCTTCATTCGGTGAAAAAGTTACTGAAGCCTATCAAGGAGAAATGAAGCAGAGGCTCCATCAGTACACTTGAAAGCAGTGATCGCGATAGCTGGAAGGCGGGATGGTTTCAATAACGTCATTAGTGGGCGTTATCGGCGGACCAAGCCCCTCAGCGAGCTGGCGGTGTGATTGGAAACCCTCACTCATCACTCTTCAGTTCACGGATTACTTGAATTTTCTTCTATGGTCCTGCCACGAATGGGTAGACACAGACGATTAAACAACGGTGCCTCCAAATTTCTATTAGAAAGGCGACAACCTAAAGATTACGCTGAAAGAGAGGTCGACGGCGCTATCGCGA